GCGGAGGGCCCCGGGGGGTCGCGGCCCCCCCTGAAGGCAGCGGTGCCCCCCCAGTGAAGGACAAGGAGGACACGCAGGTGGACTCGGAGGCGAGGCCCATGAAGGACGAGACTTTTGGGGAGTACCGGTGAGAAAAGGGGCGTGGCCTCGAGGGAAAATGGGCGTGGTTTCGTCTTAAGGGGCGTAGTTTCCTTTAAAGGGGTGTGGCCTCGGTGGTGGGCGTGGTTTCATGACCTATCGCGATGTGATCTGCTCCCCTCCCCCTGTCCATTAATTACCCCCTCATTAACCACCCCACTCATTAATTAATTAATCACCCTCCTCTCTCACTAATCGCCCGCCTCCTCCTTGTTAATTGCCCTCATTAATTGCCTTGGGCTAATGAAGGTCCCTGGAGAGGTAAGGGGGGGTCTGGGGGGGGTCCCCAATCCCCTGGGGGGGAGGGGAAGGTGATGGGGGAGGGGAAGGTGGGGGGACGATGGGGGGGAGGGGAAGGTGATGGCGGCACCGAGGAGGGGGAGGAGAAGGCCGTGGGCAGCTCAGGGTGGTGGTGACGGTGTGGGTGGGGTCATGAGGTCATTGATTGGTCATTGATTGGTCATTGATTGGTCATTGGGTCATGGGGTCATTGGTTGTGTCAATGGTTGGGTCAGTCATTGGGTGTTGGTTGGGTCATTGGGTCATTGATTGGTCATTGGGTCATTGATTGGTCATTGGGTCATTGATTGGTCCCTGGTTGCTCCCGGGCCCATTTCCCGCCATGTCCCGGTGTCCCCATGTCCCCATGTCCCGGCATTTCCGTGTCCCCATACCCCGATATCCTGGTATTTCGGTGTCCCCAGTCCCATTATCCCATTATTCCGCTGTCCCCAATCCCACTGTCCCCATATCCCGATATCCTGTTATTTCCCTGTCCCCGATCCCGTTACCCCGTTATTTCCCTGTCCCTGATGTCCCCAATCCCGTTATTCCACTGTCCCCAATCCCATAATTTCCCTGTCCCCAATCCCATTATCCCACTGTCCCCAATCCCATAATTTCCCTGTCCCCAATCCCGTTATCCCGTTATTTCATTTCCCTGTCCCCAATCCCATTATCCCACTGTCCCCAATCCCGTTATTCCACTGTCCCCCATGTTATCCCGTTATTTCCCTGTCCCCAGTCCCATTATCCCGTTATTTCATTTCCCTGTCCCCAATCCCGTTATTTCCCCGTCCCCACTGTCCCCAACCCCATTATTTCCGTGTCCCCAATCCCATTATCCCGTTATTTCCCTGTCCCCAATCCCATTATCCCGTTATTTCTGTGTCCCCAATCCCGTTATCCCGTCACCCCGTTATTCCACTCTCCCCAATCCCATTACCCCGTTATTTCCCCGTCCCCACTGTCCCCAGCCCCGTTATTTCCGTGTCCCCAACCCCATTATCCCATTATTTCCGTGTCCCCAATCCCGTTATCCCGTTATTTCCCTGTCCCCAATCCCATTATCCCGTTATTTCCCTGTCCCCAATCCCATTATCCCGTTATTTCCGTGTCCCCAATCCCATTATCCCGTCACCCTGTTATTCCACTCTCCCCAATCCCGTTACCCCGTTATTTCCCCGTCCCCACTGTCCCCAGCCCCGTTATTTCCGTGTCCCCAACCCCATTATCCCATTATTTCCGTGTCCCCAATCCCGTTATCCCGTTATTTCCCTGTCCCCAATCCCATTATCCCGTTATTTCCCTGTCCCCAATCCCATTATCCCGTTATTTCCGTGTCCCCAATCCCATTATCCCGTCACCCTGTTATTCCACTCTCCCCAATCCCGTTACCCCGTTATTTCCCCGTCCCCACTGTCCCCAGCCCCGTTATTTCCGTGTCCCCAATCCCATTATCCCGTCACCCCGTTATTTCCCCGTCCCCACTGTCCCCAGCCCCGTTATTTCCGTGTCCCTCACCGCCGTGTCCCGTCTCCGTCAGTGACGGCGAGGAGAAGGCGTCGGGCAGCTCGGGGGGCTCGGTGTGCGCGGCGGGCGCGGCGCTGGGCAGCGATGACAGCCTGGCCGGTTACGGCGGCAGCGCCGATGTCCAGTTCAACGAGGACGGCTCCTTCATCGGCCAGTACAGCGGCACCCGCGGCACGGCCGGCGGCAGCTCCGGCCCCGCCAGCCCCTCGGCCGCCGCGCCCCTCGACTGACCCCCGGCCCAGCTGGGGGGACAGCGGGGAGGGGTCCTGAGGCACCGGGAGGGGTCCGGAGGGTGGGGTGGGGTCGTTGTGGGGACCCTCTGATGTCATTGTGGGACCCCCTCAAATATCACTGTGGGGACCCAGCAGTGTCACTGTGGGACCCCCATGGTCCTGGGGACCCCCTGATGTCATTGTGAGACCCCCTGGTGTCATTGTGGGACCCCCATGGTCCTGGGGACCCCCTGGTGTCATTGTGGGACCCCCTGATGTCACCGTGGGACCCCCTGATGTCATTGTGGGACCCCCTGATGTCACTGTGGGACCCCTCAAATATCACTGTGGGGACCCAGCAGTGTCACTGTGGGACCCCCATGGTCCTGGGGACCCCCTGGTGTCATTGTGGGACCCCCATGGCCCTGGGGACCCCTAAAATGTCACTGTGGGACCCCCTGATGTCATTGTGGGACCCCTCAAATATCACTGTGGGACCCCCTGATGTCACTGTGGGACCCCCATGGTCCTGGGGACCCCCCGATGTCACCGTGGTCCTGGGGACCCCCCCCAATGTCACTGTGGGACCCCTCAAATATCACTGTGGGACCCCCCACCATGGTCCTGGGGACCCCCTGATGTCACCGTGGGACCCCCCAATGTCACCGTGGGACCCCCTGATGTCATTGTGGGACCCCCATGGTCCTGGGGACCCCCCCCAATGTCACCCTGGGACCCCCCAAATGTCACCGTAGGATCCCCCCATGGTGGGGGGGGGGGTCCCCAGTGCTGGGGGTGGGGACCCCCCCCCAAATGACGTAGCAGGGCCCCCATGGCCCTGGGGACCCCCCCCCAAATCACCCCGGAACCCCCCCCATGGCCCTGGAGACCCCCCCCCATTTAAGGCCCCTCCCCCACTCCCTCCACTGCCAAAAGGGGGGGGGTCCCTTAAGTGCCCCCCCCCCCAGTTTGGGGCTGGCGGGGGGGGGGGGGGGGGGGGGAGGGGTGATGGGACCCCCCCCTCAAAAAAAACACCTCACAGCGGGGGGGGAGGGGCGGGGACCCCCCCGTTGGATTCAGCCAAAAAAATCCCCCCCCCCTCCCCCCCCTCCCCGCGCTGGATTTTTGGGGAGGGGTCTGGACACCGGGGGGGGGGCTCTGAAGACCAAAATTGGGGGTGGGGGGTGCAAGAGGGGGGGACTTTTTCCCCTCCCCCAACATTTTACGCCCCCCTCCCCCCTCCTCTTTTACTCCTCCGGGACCCCTCCCCCCAAAATAAAATCTCTGGGGGGGTTTTTTTTGGGGGGTGGGGGGGTCTCACCACGCCCCCTCCCCAAAATTTCTGAATGCATCTCACGGCGCGGCCTTGGCAACCTCACACGAGCCGAGGGGGGGGGGGGCTGCCCCCCCG